CCATTATTGTCCACTAATCATATGAATACATATCATAATTAAGAAAGAATGTGAACTTAAATAAAATAAATCTAAAATATTTAAAGTTTGATATTTCTTAATTTCATTGATTGGACAAAGATGAGACGTATAATTTTATGACAGCAAATTTGTATCTCATTTTCTTTTTATGTATGATGAATTATAACAACTCACTACGACAAAAAACAGTGGAAAAACCATTAATTATTATTTAAAACAATTTATTTTTTACAAAAATAAAATAAAATGACGTTAAATATTTCTTTTATTAGAAATAGAGTAATTGAGTTGCAAAATCAAATCAATTGATGAAACAATTGCAAAATCTAAGCCATTTGTCAAATTTGACTATATCTCTACGTTAATTTTGGACTAAAATTAGAAAGTTGGGTTTAAATGAGAATATGATTAAAATATACAAGATTCTATATATCACATGTGATTTTGGACTAAAATTCATATGTGATTAAGGTTCAGTCAACGCTCTTGCATGCTCCTGCATTCACTGCTAATTGAACCTGAATTACACGTGATTTTTTGTCCGAAATTATATGTGATATAAGTGTTCTTTTATTTTAATTACGTTTTTGTTTGAACCTCCCTCTCTACATAAGTTTATGGTTTTGTTGTTGTGATGCAATCACATCAAACAATATTGTTGGGAGGAAGGTGGCATTGAGCTCAAATGACCAAAAGGTTACAAGTGAAAAGATCAATATTGGACTTTGTTTTTATCGTCCTTGTTCGTTAGGAGGACAATGTTACTCTTGTTTACATCTTAATCTTTGTTGGAAAGATCGTGATGTGTGTAAGAATAGATGTAAAAATAAAAATATATTATAATTATCATTTAACTTTTATTTTACATACATTTATTCACTTATTACTCACTTTTTGCCATTTTTTTGGTTTGGAAATATCAAAATTTTATCGAAAATAACGATTACTTTTAGCTAATAAAGAAAAAATCTTAGATATAATTGCGCATGCAACGACTTGAAATTAAAGTTCTAAATGATGTGAGCCATGGTGGTGAAGTTAAGCATTCATCTTGTGAATCAAATGATGGCAATTATATAATAACTAATAATATAATACATTATTATTTAAAATGAACATACATGAACAACGGTATTATTGAAAAAAATTCATAAAGTTTGTAACATTTTAATACGCATTGTGTGCATTAATATTTACATTTTGAAAATGTTTACTTTTGCTTTGTTCAATCAGATTAACAATTTGATCAAAATTAATTTTTTTAATAATAAAACATTGTGTAATTTGAATAATTGGTCATAATCCGAACAATCAAACAACTATTAAATAATAACCACTCATTGATTAATAAAAAAATGTAACTTACATGCATGTATAATTTATCTTTATGCCCCCCGTCCCATAATCAATACCTTATTAAAACCTACCATAAACAATGAATCATATTGGTCTACTAGATTAACATAATTAACATTAAAAATTAAATTAACAAAATAACCTATCTCTCTMTATATATATTATATCTATTACATTCACTATCTCTTCTCTTCATTTTCCCCATTTTTTCTTCATGGGTATGGTAACTACCTGCATCTTTGCAAACTCTTTYTTTATTAACATAGATATCCAATTCATTATGCGAGTCGACTAATTCTAGGACGATCATCTGCTTTGTGGGCAGCAGGTAATCTGGAGTCACTGTAATTGAACTTCTGTGACCATAAGTGGATTTTTATTTCTTCTTGGATTTGAACTTGAGACCTCCAGACATTTTTAACTTTTGGAATCCAAACTCAAACCAACCAATCAGGCACCACCTTTATAGTTATGTCTAAAGGTTTCCAATGAACTTTTTCTTTGTCTGGGTTTAATCATTGTCAAAGGTTCATGGGTTATTGCTATTGTCTTATTTGCTTGGAACTGTTTGATGTTAATATCTTTTCACAATCAAGCCTTGACTTTTTCTGGTAAAGATGAAGGGAACACATCTTTTACAGAGTTAATCACCCCACTAATTCAAAATCATAGACAAGTAATCCTGAATGATCTTGATTCAACCGTAAGAGTAATTACGYATTACGTATATAGTTAACATTTTGTCGAACAGTCGGCAGATATTAAAGTATCAGCTGTACGTAAATCTTACTAGTTTAAATGCAAAAACCCCTTTAGCTACTTCGATTAAGTGCAAGTTATGTATGTCTTTAAACGTACAATCACAAGTTCTCTAGATGAAACCATAAACAATAAAATTTCTAAAAGATTATGAAACAAAAAGTCGAGGTCTTTGTGGTACGTATTGTCGTGCTCCGACTTCGTAAACTCATAACCGATGTGAAAATTAGAGGTTTTAATTTGTGAAAAAAAGCAAGAAATACTGCAAAAAAATTCCATTGCCGGGAATCGAACCCGGGTCTCCTGGGTGAAAGCCAGATATCCTAACCGCTGGACGACAATGGAACGCCTGTTATGATATTGAATACTAAAATAAAATGTACGTGTACAAATTTTTCTGATTAAAGTTTGACCACAAAACTTTACAAATTTATAAATTGACCACACAGCTTTTTTTTTATAAGAAAACTCGATGAATTCCTCTATACATATAAATAAAAACTAGTTTCACTCAATCTCACGATCTTTTTTTGGTTCGATTCCTTATTCGATCAAAAGCGTAATCTCACGCTCAACAGCTCGTCGACGATCTCGTCCACGAGCCCACAAAGCAAGTCTTGTTCCACCTCTTTAACGAACGCGTCTTTTTCCACAAAYGCAAACGTCATTGTATGCCAACCGAAGTCCCAAAAACTATTTGTGTCAGGATTCGTGTTATAAATGTCTCTCTCGAGCATATGATGCAAATAATCCGCTTCATCGACTTCATTTTGGGCATTCCTACCATATAAYCTTAATCCCTCCAAATCTTTATACAATTGTTTAACCAATTCGTCTAAAAACCTTATGGTCGTGCAACCAACCGATGGTTTCATGTACGGGTGAGCCGATAGTTCTTGGCTGCGTGCTTTTCGCCTCAAGATTTCGTGCCCGCATTCTAACTTCACCTTAGTTTCGTCRCCATGATGGTTATGATCATCGGCGTGAAGAAAACCGACGGGAATGTTGAGCTTGAAAAGGGCTTCGGCTGTGCTTCGAAATAGTTGATCTTTTATCAGAATCTCCTTGAGTTGCTTTTCTTGATCGGTCAATACGACTTGCGAGAATACCTTTTTCGGTTTGGTTTCCGGTGGATTACTAGTCTCCATGATTCTGTCACTCGATGCATGCTTTCTAACAGCTACAACGATTTCAGAAGGTTCTTGAGGTTTGATCTTGATGTCGTTTTCGCGTATGGGTACACAAGAGATTGTGTTTGTAATCTGCATCATGAAAACGATATCCACAAGATGAGTTTACGGACTTGTTTAACAACTGATGGTACGATAACCACAAGGGTGGTGCCYGATTGGTTTGAGCTTGGCTCCAAAGGTCAAAAGTACCAGGAGGTCCCRGGTTCAAATCCAAGGAGGAATAAAAATYCCCTTGTGGTCACGGAGGTTCAAATGCGGTGACTCCGGGCTATCTGCAAAGCAGGTGGTTGCCCTGGGATTAGTCGGCTCGCATAAAATCGGCATTTTGAAGCCATTGGATGCCCCGTCGACCGCATAGACTAGGGGTCAACCGCCCCGGTCAAAACCAAGGCGTTTAAGAAGGTCTAAAATGCCCATTTTGTTGTAGTGTGAAGGTAAATGTAAGCTTACATTGTCATCAAACCGGGTTATTGATTCCGATTTCTTCGAATTCGATCTCTTGCTGCTCGTTTCTTCTGGTTTCGAACGGGTCGGACCTAACTGCTGGACGTCTTTACGTTTAGTTTCTTTCAAAACCGAAAGTTTATGCTTTGATTGTCTCTCTAAGTTGTTTCGGMTTCCATTCCTTCTGTTCAATACCTCATCTTTCCTTCGAAGGGCTTCAGATCGATTTACCGCCATTAAGTCAACCTTCTTTCGTGCCACGACCTTCTCTTTCGCAACMGGTGGTTGCACTTTGGCTTCGGTTCTTTCGGGTTTGGATTCTTGTGCCATTGGAGTTGCATCTTTAGCTTTTAGATTCTCTTCAAAAGGTTGGATTTTTGGGTATTTTGAAGGTGAATCCTTGGGTTTAACTTGATTATGGCTGTGTTTGATTTGCTGTGAATCTTGTTTACTCTTTTGGGTTCTTTTTTGTGGTTCTTGATTCTGATTGTTTCTTGGAACCAATCTGATCTCGTTACTCTTTTCGATTCGAGTCATTTTCTTCTTCTCGACTTGCAGATTCGAYGCAATTTCCGGGGTTCTGCGCTTTTGTGGTTTCTTCTCTTTCCTTTCACTGTTAGATCGTCTCTCGGGCTTCTCGGGAATCATATCTGAACGGGTGGTGGTGTTTTGTTTTGTACCTGCGGACGTCCGCAGAGGTCTTGACACCCCATTTGTGTTTGAGTCCTGGATTTGTTGGGATTTTCGATCGGTTAACGTAACAATCGCGTCTTTCACTGGTTTCGGTATCTTGTTAACTTGTTTTTCCGTGGTCGCTATTCGTGGCTCGACATTCTTCGGTTCATCGAGCTTTCCAGGAACTTCTTCTAGGCCCATTAGTTTCGCAATTACGTTTGAAATCCTCCCTTTTTCTGCAYGATTCGAGGTGTTTTTCGCATTAGAAACCGTTCTAATGCTTTCCGCACTAGCGGACGTCCGATAAGTCRTTAACGTAGAAGAACTAGCATCGGTTAACGGCACATGGGACCGTTTAGAAGGCTTGTCGAATGAGAATCTTGGCAAAGCCACTTGGTTCTGGTTCACGATCTTCGAACCATCGGCTCCATCATCGTCATCATCGACCTCCAGCAACGTGATTTGACTCTTGCGTTGCGGACTAACCATCATTTCCGAAGCTTCTTGCAGGTTCACRAGCATCCTTAAAGACTCTTCCAATCCCTTAGCCCCTTTCAGCAACTCTTTTCCTACTTCCATCGAAACGTTCATCCTGTTAGAACTCGATCGTATTATTTCGTAAAGATTCTGAACCCCTTTCGATATCTCTTTGATTTGAAAGGCGGTGAGAGCTGGCGGCATGCCGGCATTCGAATGACGACGATGCTGCACTATACTCCGGTCGTTTCGACCATTTCCGGCGTCCAGCGATCTCCGGCCAATCTGGTGGAAGAAATCTATCATTGTGTTRGTGTTAGCAGAGCCTGAAAAATCCATGTTCATGAGTTTTCCCCCGTTTTTAACGGCGTAAGTGAAGGCCATGGATAAATCTCCGATGGGTTCTGATCTTTGGTTCCGGCCACCTGCGTAAGAAACAATCTGTTGTGATGATTCTTTAATGGCGGGAGGTCGACCAGAAGAGGTGAACCGTTGGTTCGCCATTTTAGGTCCACCGATCTGCAATTAAGAAAATGAAACCAGTGATTAAAGGGTGTGATTAATTAAATTAATTAGGGTTGACTTGATGGATTAATTAACCTACTGATTCAAGTGATTTGGTTTGTCGAGATCCTCTCTGCATGTTTCCTGGGTTTCTATACGCGTCTGTTCATCAACACAAATGAAATCAGCTTTGTCTTTTAAAAGTCAAAATAACTACTTAAGACATTTAATAATCAAATATAGCATTTAATACGACCGAATCAAATTATAATATAATCATTTGGCTTGTGTTTTTCTGCATATATATTATTTTATTTCTCTTTAAAAGTTTTTTAAACATAAATATTCACATAATCTTACAATCGTTTTTATAACACCTATTATTAATGCAACCTTGTTTTCTTTATGGTTTTGGTGCATCATTAAACACCCATCAAATCACGTGATTAATTTATTGGTTCGTATTTGGAAAGTTTCTTGAAAGTTCGACCAATTTCGGAATCACTTCAACCCATTGAACACGAATTCYCATCTAACTCGAGTTTGACTTTTGGTTGTCAACATGAAAAAAAATAATTTTGAAATTATGAAGCATTTGTTTATTCATATAAAAAATTGTTGATTTCCCCTTTAAAATACATAAAGTGCAATTAGAATACTATTCTGTTAGTATTTTCGACGAATTTTCAACGGAATTTTTTGAATGATTTTGAATGGAATAGTTTTCAAGGGATTTTCGAGGGATACGGTTCTACCCCTCGAACCCCACATCGGAATAAAATATAATGGAATTGCGAATCTAAGAACATGCACCACGATTTATTGGTTCGTATTTGGAAAGTTTCTTGCACTTACTCTCACTGGATCAAGCTTTTCCCTTTATGGCTGTAACAATTTTGGAATCACTTCCAGCCATTGAACACGAATCTTGATCTTGCTTAACTTTGACTTTTAAGTGTCAACAATCGAAATTTTCAACTTGGAAATTCAGAACAATTATTCATTTATATAAAAAACCARCGATAACCCATTTTAAAACACATAACGTGCAATTAAAATACCAATTTGAAAACGAAAAAACAAGCGAGAAAACGTATGGAAAACCGAACGGAAGACGTTACCTCTGGCCGTAGCATTGGTACGAGACGCACCCATTCGTTCTTTCCGAACACGGAGATCATTCAGCAGCTTTTGAGCGAAATCAGACTTGGCTGCCATTTTTTTTGGTGGTGTTGGAGGTTTGATGTGTAAGAGAATAATGAATGGAAAATGGTGGTAAGAAGATGAGATGATAGATTTGGAAGTGGAAGTGGAAGGGGAAGTGGAGGTTTAGTTGGAAGGGTTCAATCGAGATCAGGTGAAAGAAAACAACAGGTTTAGATGAAAGAAGGTGAGAATGTTTCGAAAGRTTGACGTGAACGTTTTCTCTACTTCTTTATTACTGTTACAAGCCTTGAAATCACAATGACTTTGATTTAAAACCAAGCAATCTCACCACTGATTCATCAATTATATATATATATATATATATATATACATTCTATACATACACTTTTTTGTATCTATAGTCTGCCTTCACATCATTGGTAGATAGATACATATATATATTATGTTTGCCCTTGGTTAAGTTCGTTCGTATTATGCCGACACCAAAACGATTTGACGTTTGATTTTAGGGATGGGATATGAAGCCGAAGATGTTACTGTATACTAAAAG